TAAAACGGTGCAGCCACTTTGGAAAACAGTATGGAGGTGCCTTAAAATATTAAAACTAGGGCCGGCCAAGTGGCTCAGTTGGTTAAGAGCTCACTCAAGAATTTGAGCTCTGAGCAACAGCGGTTCAACTCCCAGCCCGAGCTGAGCAGCTGCTGAGCTGCCAACAGGTGGCAGGATGGCTCAGCTTAAAAAAAAAAAAATTTAAAACTAGAATTAGCACATGATCCAGCAATCTCACTTCTGGGTATATATCCAAAAGCATTGACAGCAGGATCTCAAAGAGATATTTACACAGCCATCCATGTTCATCACCACATTATTCACTACAGTCAAAGGAAGAAGTGACCCAAATGTCCATCAACAATGAATAAAGGAAATATGGTACATATATACAAAGAATTATTCAGCCTTTAAAAAGAGGTAAATCTTGTCACATGCTTTAACATGTGTGAACCTAGAGAACATTAGGCTAAGTTCAGTAAGTCAGTTGCAAAAGACAAATGCTGTATGACTCCACTTATATGAGGTATCTAAAGTAGTCAAACTCATGAAAACAAAAAGTAAAATGGTTGTTGCTAACAAATGGGGGAGAGTGAGAAATGGGAGGTTTTGTTCAATAGGTGTCGAGTTTCAGTTTTGCAAGATGAAAAAGTTCTAGAGATCTATTGTGCAACAATGTGAATATAGCTAACGCTAGACGTAAGTATACTAACTGTTCATTTAAAATGTTAAGATGGTAAATTTTATGAGTTTTTTACTACAATTTTTTAGCATTATCTTTAAATTCCTTTCTAAATAAAAAACTTTTGTCAGTTCTTAACATGTGATAATGGTATTGTGGTATACATTTTTAAATAGCCCATATCTTCCATAGACACACACTGAAATATTTATGAATGAATGAAATGTGATAGAAGTACTGGCTCCAAAATAATCAGGTTTGGGGGTGGGGAATACATGGGAACAGGTAGTTACATGAAACAAAATTGGTAACTACTGCATCTAGATGCGAATTCATTATGCTAGTCTCTACTTTAGTGTATGTTTGAAATTTTTCACAATAGAAAGTTAAATATAATATATACACCTGTTGGCCAATGGGTTCTATTAATGCAACGAGATAATTACAGAAAGTACTTATGGAATATATTATAGGAAAGTCGCTGTCATTCATGATCATTTATGGTGCAATTAGGGTTAAAATAACCTGTACCTAGGCAAGTGAACAGTGAGACAAATAGGATTATAAATCCCCTCATGGTTATTATATCAAGAACAAAGCTGAGGCAGGTGTGGGGGTGGTAGAAGAAGGAAGAAGTAACTGTTCCCTCAAAGCACTCCTACATGGCATTTTCGTGTGTGTGTGGGGGCGGGGCATATGAGATACTAGATAGCACAGGTGTAACCCTGAGCGCTATGGCATTTCTCAGGTCCTTAGGAAAATCACCATTGTGAACTAATATCTATACATTTATAAGCATATCATGCAAATATGTAGAAACATCTTCGGTGTCCTCAGCTAGACTGCAAGCAAGTTTGCTGCAATCCTATAATTGATCTCTAACACACATACACACACACATAGAACTAACACTAACATAAACAAACAAATTTCTGTGATTGTAACTTACAAATAATTTCAGGAATTTTCAACAAAATTGGCAGATGTGTTTGAGATGCTCTGATTTAAAATACAGTTTATGAGCTGTTCCCAAAACAAAACAAAAAAAACAACATAGTGTATGTGAGTGGCACATTAAAAATATCACTTGAGGACAGGCACTTAGAAGAGATGGCTCATTGCATAGCACCTGCATCTCAGATGCCCAGGGTCTGTGCAACTGATTCTCAGGGGAAGACATGTCATAAATAGTTAAGACTCCAATAACCCAGAAACAGGTTTCAAATGTGAGCTTCAAACAAAAGCCAAGGGCAGATACTCGAAAATGCCAAAGATGATTTACCATGGAGCTGCTATTTACTTGAGAAACTCTGTAGTGCTCCAGAGGAAAAAGCAGATTTAATGATGGTTAATGAGTCACCCAAGCACCCTAAAGAACCCAGTAGCTGTTTTATAAATTAATGAAGAAACACATAATCCCTGGAGCTAGGTAAAGACACACAAAAAATTCTTATTTTCCCCAACATTCCCCGTTAACTGGAGAGGGGGAGTTAGACAGACAAGGGGAGAAGAGGAAGAGGTGGGAGGGAGGTCATTTTTTCCCCCATAAGAATTCAAAAGATAGTTTAAACAAAGGAAATCCTCATCAACATACGGACAGAGTCATCTTTAAAAAGAATCATTTCCTAGGAATACTTTCACAGACAACTTATCTTACCTATTTATCCTAGTTCTAGTTAATTTTTAGTTTTTATTTCAGACTGATGCATCATCTACCATTTCCCACCAAATTATATAAACTTTAATCAGTGTCTATGGCTCCCTGATTTAATGTTTAAAAAAAAAATCCAAATAAAAATAATTAAAATTTTTGATGATGCACAGAATGTATTTTGAAATAGAAAATATTCTTGTTTAAGTAATTAATTCTAAAAAAAAAGAAGTAAAAATTAATTCTCCTGCTATTTACTGATCCCCCAAATACACAGCAATACCATTTAGGTAGAAAATTACTTTTTGTAAGGGAGAATCATTTTGAATTCTAATTTACAGTGATGAGATCACTTACCCTGAAGCTAGAAGAAACTTCAGAAATATAGTCCAATCCTGTCATCTAATTTTACAAGAGTACTTGACAAATTTCATCCAAGACACACACAAGAGAGCAAATCACAACTCCTACAGAGTCCAGTGCTCTTTCTGCTGTATAATACAGCTAACACATTTTTATTCCAGAGTAAAGCTTCTAAATGATCTTTTCAATTGGTAAAAATGGCTCTCCTGAAAATTTTTCACTAACTAAAAACAGGTAGCAAATTCAGCCACTTAACTTCCCCACTAACAATAAATATTAGGGTAAATGCTAAACACAAAAAGATTATTATAGTAAGATGATGGACAAAAACACGAGAGCTATTACTGCCACTATAACTTAAGTTTAACAAAAAAATTCTATTCACAAAATACAGTCCACTTGTTAAAATACAGGATCATCACTATATAATACTTTCCACCCTGATAACCATAACCAAGTGGTTATGAAATCTACAGATAACAGAAATCTTCAAAATGCGGGTTTGCCTTTTTTATCATTTATACTAAATAATCAAAATTTATTTTAAGTACCTTAAATTACATTTTTTAAAAAATTTACTTTGGGAACACATGTATTTTGTCAGATTGTGAGGAACTTTCAAAAGTCTTACTAGATGCTTAAAAATCAGAGAGTTACAGAAAGAGCACTAAAATATTCTAATATTTGAGTGGGAGCAATTCTTACCATTGGCAGTGCATTGATGTGGGGATGTACCACTGAATATCCGGTACCGCCAATCACAAGTTGCTGTTGCTGATGCTGAGAAAAAGGAAAGTAAAATATTCAGTGTGCCCTAAAACAAATTCAGTTTAAAAGATTTCTCACACCAAATTCTACATGTATGAAATAGTCTTCAGTTATGTCTTTGAGGTCTCCACCAGTGAATCTCTTTCTCCCCCTAAGCAATTGTTATTATCATAAACAACAGCAGCAACTTTTGAGTGCATAAGTATCACGTGGCAGGCACTGAATCTTGATAACTTTCCTAAAAGATTGACACACTCAACAGAATGAGGCTCAAAAGATGAATGTGCACAAACTGACCCACGCTCAACTCAACTCATGCAAATATTGTTGTAATAGGGTCCAGTACAATATGTTAATAACCTATAATCATGAGTCATGAAGAATGCTATTAAACTTATATTCTATATATTCTGCTTAATACAGAGAAATACATGGTTGCTTTTCAAACCACTTCAATCAAAACCTAAGAAACTTTAATCTCTACAAAGTTTACATTTTACAGAGTTTACCCGGTCTTTTCAGTTGCTAAGTCACAGCACCTTATTGCCCGTGAATCTTTTTTGTAAATATGCACGTGGTTTGTCATACACCCTTGGGTAGTGACTCGCAGGAGGACACGGACCAGTGCAGGTTCCGCTGTGTGCTGGAGTGGAGCACCGTGTTCTGGAAACGCACAGGCTGATGCCACAGAAAGGGATGTAGGGGCTTTACCTCATACACTTAACAGGTGAACTAAGTCAGGAGACACTTAAAAGATAACTAAGCAAATACACTGAATAATGGCAGAAAGAACTTAATCCCTTCAAGTTTGCTCCCTCAGGCTTTATCTTTAATTGACTGGAACACCCATTGTGCTGACTGCAAACTCCATGGCCATACTGCACAACTTTAGTGCTAGTGCATAATTTTCAAGTAGTTATGGGACCTTTCCCTAAGAAAAGGTACAAACAAATAAAAAATTTGCTTATAATTTAAAGTAGTGACCTAATCTAATCTAAGACTTACTGGCCAGTAACAAATTCAAGAACGTGTACTTGGTATCCTTGAAAAATAGAAGATGCAAATGAATTGTTTAAATTTGGAGAATTAAGGAAAATCATCCTAAGACGAGAAAAATATAATAATCCTACCATAATTAATATGCTTAGAAAGATTTATCAAATGAACTCCTGAAAAAAAGAGTAGTCACAGATGAAGTCCAAATTAAACTGCTTAGCACATGGCTTGAAAGCAAAATAAACAGTGATTACCTTCTACTGGAACAATCAGAAAAGATATGTGTTTGTAAATCAGAGTTTCAAATCAAAATCTTCCCAATTCCATTGATCCATTTCACAAAAGATTTTATTAGTTGCCTTCTTTAACATGGTAATCTCTAATAAGATGCTATGTATTCATCAAAGGCTCTAAAACATTATATTCTAAGCTCTCCTCACCCCATTCCCAGTTCCCATGGAATCACAGACACACAATATTCTAGACAGCCTGAAGAAAAGGTGAGTGGAAAAGGGGAAGAGCTGCAGCAAAAGGGATTTAAATCTTTAGGAAACTCATCCTGAGATCAAGATCAGACTCAAAGGCAGAGAGCAGTCAGACCAAACACAGCTTTACCATCACTGGCCAAGTTCTCACTTCCCTTTGTTATTTAAGTGACTTCGGGAAAATGGATTCAAAAGTTGTATATTATGATTTCAATTTTCTAAAAATAGGACACGCTCTGACCACAAACCCACATAAAAAACAATTTAAACATGCATTGATGTGTAATCATCCAATTATTATTTCAGTTGAGTTAGTTTCATTGGTAGAATCACATGTGGTTGAATTTTATATTAGATTTATAAAAAAAAATACTTGTGCAGGAAGTAAGACAAAAAGCTATCAAGTACCCCAAAATTTGTCTGTCAGAGAGTAAGCAATGCAATTAAAAGACAATAAAAACCACAAGCTGTCTTACACTAAGCCAAAGAATTTTTAAAATTAAAGTTTGGTTTGAGCAGCTTCAAGTGTTATTAAAAGTCAAGTTTGGTTTTTAGGTACTAACATCTACCCATCAAAAGTGTCCAGTTCACTAACTTTCAATGATAGAAAACTGGACATGAGAAAAGGCTTCGACTCCGACTTGAGCTGTGATCCTAGAAAGGTAATATAAACAATGTATGGCTAAACACACATTGCTGGTCAGTTACTTTTTTCAAAAATAAGGTGGCACATCAACAATGTGGAACTAATTTCTTTTCCTCTACTAAATAAATGGTGCAACTTATAATTTATGATGCCTTAGAAATATGACATTGTTTTCTTCTTAACACAAACCTAATAGCAGCTAAACATTTTTTTTTAAGTTATTTGGGAGGAAGAAACAAGTAGAAGGGTGATGGGAAGCAAAGGAATAGCATAAGGATGCAAGAAATAATATGATGGAAAAAAATATATCAAACTTGACCTTCTCCAAATTTGCCTAAACCCACACAGGCAGTGCCTTGGCACTTAGGTTAGAAGAAAAAACTGACATAATTCCTAGATCTTATTAGGTTTCTCACTCTTCCCAAGGGCTGAATATTTGATTCAAGATACCAACAATTTGAATAGCTAATTAGACTAGAACAACACAAAAATCATTCTTCTGAACAATACCTTCCCAGAAGAAAAGAGAACAGCTCTGCCAAGGATGTTGGGTCTTTGATTAACTCTGTCCTACAGAAATATTTTTTCAGATTCTAACCTAAAATGTGACTCAGCTTTAATTGATCTAGGGTAGAATCTGAACATTGGCTGCATTTTAAAGCTCCCCATGTGATTCCAGTGGCGACTGAGAACTACTGGACTATGAGCCACAAAAGGGCAGGATGGGGCATTTCAGTGGTCAGATTCCAATAATGAATCCTTTGGGGGGAGGGGCAAAAAGAGACCACTTCCTGCAAAATTAGCAATGCAAAGTGAGTGGGTCTCAGAACTAGAGTGGGGAACGTACCATATCAAGTAAATTAAAAGTTTTGTTCATTTGATTTTAAAGTTAAAATAAGAAACAAAAGATAAACTCAATTTCTCTCTCAAAAAGTGAATTAGAAAAGGACAATAATGAGGGCTTCTGCGAGAGAAAGAGACCCAGTAAGAGCACAAAACAGGAGAGTTACTATACTAACAGCACAAAAGGAGCACTGCTGATACGTACATTTAGATAAAGAGACACATAAAAACCAAATGAACCTCAGCTTTGTGTGACAAAATTGTAAGTAGCTGGTAGAAGTTATAGGAACATATTTTTTCTGCTCATTATAATGGAAAACTGTTACAGAAATCAATGGAAATGTTCTAACAAAACCCGGATCTATCATTCGGCAAGGAAGTTATTACAGTGGGATAGATAGGTTTGTATGTGTGCCCTGTCGATTCTTTCGAACTCGGCATTCCAGGGTCATGATAGGGGCCACCAGTAACATCTATGGCACCTCCGTGCAAATTAGACTCCAGCAGGACAAATTAGGAAAAAAGAGAAGCCACATTACAGGACAGGGGGTTTAGAGCCTGAACTGTGGAGCCATACAGCTTGGACTTGACTCCCAAGACCTGACACTTAGTAGGCTAGAAGGCCTAAGACAAGTTACTTCAACTCTCTGTACCTCAGTTCTTTCATCTGTAAAATAAACTGTTATGAGAGTTGAGTAACTTAATATTTATAAAGTGCTAAACAGTACCTGGCACAGCATTCAAATACAATCATTTTTAAATTATATATATATATATATATATATATGTATATATATATGAAAAGGAGCCCTTTCCTCTGAGAAGACACAATTCCATCCCAGGGAAGTGGCCTGGCTGTCAGCGCCCACCTGTCCCCTGGTCTGTGCACTTCTGTGCAGGACACAAACTGCCCATTCATATTCTGCTGTGCTGCATATTACTATGGCTGTAGAGTGTTTTATTTTGTCTTTTCAGAGTTAATATAATAGCACAGCTATTCAAAAACAAAGATTAATCATTGATAAAACGCAAATTATAACAGGTTTGGAGTGTGCCTGAACATGGCAGTTGCCCTGACTAGAATGACCCCATAGGGACAATGAACACATCTAACCAGTGTAACAGGGTGACAATGAACACACCAGACCCTCACTGAAGCTGAGAGCTTCTCAATTATACTTGAAAAACTAAGTCTTCAACTTTCACTTTGCAACAGAAAGAGACAAGGTTCTTAACTATTTATAAAAAACTAGCAACATGCCAGCAGATAATTAGTAAAATGGAAATTGTCATTCTGAAGTACTTTGGACATATGAAGAGAAAAAATATATTTACATTAAATTAGGTGTTGAGTCAAGAATTTTAAAATGTTGTATTTCTATCTCCTACTGAAGAACTCAAAAGAGTAACTTTTGTCTGTCTTTACTAAGGAGTATTTCCGTAAAGATTTTCACTTTAAAAACCTTAAAAACTGGTTGCTTTGACTTCATATTTTTAACATCAATAACCTAGACAGTACCAACAAATGCTTTACCACCATGAAGTTAAAACAAATTGCTCATTTAACTACCATGTTTAGATCAAAGTGGCTGTTAGAACACTACTCCTTTAAGAAATCAGGGCTATCCTGTCTTTTAACATAATTCATCCTAAGTATACAATAAAATTACATTCATAATTCTAAAAAATGGCAAATTTTCAACTGATGTTGGTTTGCCAAATTGCTTTCAATTTAACTTTTTCACTAAATTTAAAATGAAACATTTCAACCAGCAAAATACAAGCTGTGTTATCTGCCTGATTCACTCAGGACACACAAACATAGGAAGAGGGGCCACGCTCCCCACCCTCACTCTGTTTCAGGGGTCATGAAAAGAAAGATGACAACCTTTCCTAAGTAATTATTTATTGGGTCGTCGGGAAAGTCATGACTAATTTTTCTGTTTTTCAATGCAAAAATGCGTCATGAATTTCCCGACGACCCAATACTTCAGTACAAAACACTACTGGCTCTACCTGCCCACAACCCAAATTATAACAAA